AAGTGAAGGATTAAATTGTATCTAGTGAAAAATAAATTGCAAGCTGTTTATCCTTTCCATGTGTTGATAGGGATGTGTGTTGCTTTTGAGGTTGTTATGATAAAGCTACTGTGAGTATTTGCATGCAAATGTTGCTGTAAATGTGTTTTCATTTATTTTGAGAATTTCTGAATCTTATGGTAATGGTATATTTAAAGGCAAGAAACTGCCAAACTCTTTTTCCAAAGTGGTTGTGACATTTTATATTTCTACTAGTGAAATAGGAGAAGTCTAGTTGCTTGCTCTATATCTTTACCAACATTTGCTCTTTTAATTTCACCTTTTAATTTTACCTTGTCTTTAAGGTAGTAACTCACTGTCATTTTAATTTGTATTTTCCCGATGACCAGGAATGTTGGACATCGTTCTTGTTCATTTGTACATCTCTTCTTGGTGAAACGTTTACTCACATCTTTTCATTACTTATGTTCAGTTAGGGGTATTTACTAGTTTGTAGATGGAACTGTTTAGATTTTTTATGCAGTCTGGATGTAAGTCCCTTGTTAGACATACAAAGTCAAAGTGTAAATATTTGCTCCTAGTGTGTATTTTCCATTTATGTTTTTAAAGAACAAGAGTTTTTATTTAGCTGGGCACTGATGGCTCACACCTGTAATCCAAGCTACTCAGGAGGCTGAGATCTGAGGGTTGTGGTTCAAAGCCAGCTCTGGCAGGAAAGTCCTAAGACTCATCTCTCCAGTTAACTACCAGAAAACCAAAAGAGGCTTTGTGGCTCCAAGTGATAGAGAGCTAGCTTAGAGTGCTAGCCTTGAGTGAAAGACCCCAGGGACAGTGCCCAGTCTCTTGAGTTAAAGCCCCATGACCTCCCTCCCTCCAAAAAAAGTTTCATTTAGTTCAGGTCAATGTAATATATTTTTTCCTATATATTTCTAATTTTTTTTTCTGTGTGCAAAATCAGTGATACTACAAAAGGATCATTTTCACATGCTTTCTTTTAGCGATTTTTCCAAATTTAGCTTCTTATAAGTTGTCTTCTCACTGCATTTAGGGATAGCATTTTCTGCCGAGATAAGAAGTCCCAGGATTTTTTTCCTTTGGCTGTCTTGATTTGGAGCCCTACTGTTCCAGATCTTAGCCTTCCTCAGAATTGGGATGACAGGCGTGGAATGCCCAATTCTGTGTTTGTTGCTTGGCTGGCCTCAAACCATGGTCTTCCCAGGTCATCTCAGCCGTGTGATGTAGCTCGGGGCAGCACCTGTGTGATGTCTTGTTGTTAGTTGTTTATAGAACTTCTCTAGGTATTTTTGTCAAATCACCCCATTTATTATTGCAAAATTCCAATTTCAGTATTTTTTGAGTTGGTCCTAAGATTAGCTCACAGCTGGTGCTGTATGCCTTGAGCCATACCTCCCTTTAGGATTTTTTTGCTGTTTTTGTTTTGTTAGGTTGTCTGTTGGGCTGGCTTTGAACCATGATCCTCAGATTTCATCCACAGGCTTAGCTACATTGTAAAGTCCTGTCCAAAACAAAAGATCTGTTAGCTATTTTGGCCTAGGTTCTGTGATCTTAAAAAAGAAACACTTTCAAGCTGGGTACCTGTAACTCAGGAGTCTGAGATCTACAGATCAAGCTAGCCTAGGTAGGAACCTATGAAACTCTATATCTCCAATTAACAAGTAAAAGTCCCAGAAGTGGAATTGTGGATCAAGTGGTAGAGCCCTAGCTTTGAGCAAAAAAGCTCAAGGACAGCACCCCCAGGTCCTGAGTTCAAGTCTCAGGATTCACATCTACCCACACAAATAAAGGATAGACACTGTCAGTCAGTGACTGTGGCTCCAGTACTGGGGATGGTGCACTGCTGCGCTCTACCTCAGATTATCTTATACAACCTCTTCACTTGCTGATTTACAAGAACTCCTGCTAAATATGGCCTCATCAATCATGTGCATGCATTAGTTAAGCCTCACAAATGCTTGAAGCGTGTGGAAGGAGGCGATTCTACTTTTCACTTAGTCTGCACTGTGTATGGTTCTTTGCCTTAATTACTACCTAGTAAGGAGACTTGATACCTTTTCATGTCCCTGACATGTGCTTCTAAGAGGTCAGTAGCTGCCTTTTTTCTATGATATCCCAAACACATTGCAGCTGTTAAATCAGTTGATTTGCCTAGTCATGAATTCTGCCAGTTCCAGCCAGATGACCCTTAAAAGCGGCCAGTACCCCAGCCCTCTGCCTCTGTCTGTGGGCTGGCCAATAGAAGGGAAGTGTCTTCTGTCTGAAGCTGGCTGAAGAGCTCTTTGCTGACTAATATCAAGTGGCTAACCTTGGGTGTTAGAAAGCAGTTGACTCATCCTTGTTTTCATTCTATTTCTACTCCTCTGTCTTGGTTTCTTTGCTATAAGAAACAGGTAACTTCAAGTAGGTCTTCATCTCTTTACTCACACAATACGATCTTACAGCCAGTGGTCTTTCCTAATATTTTGAGTAGGAAAGTAAGGAGAAAATGGATCTTTAAGAGTATTTGGAGGCTGGGAATGTGGCTCATTTGTAGAGTGCTTGCCTAGCATGCATTTCGATTCCTGAGTACCACATACACAGAAAAGGCCAGAAATGGCACTGTGGCTCAAGTGGTAGAGCACTAGCCTTGAGCAGAAGAAGTTCAGGGACCATGCCCAGGCCCTGAGTTCAATCCCCAGGCCTGGCATGTACGCATGTATGCATGCACACATGCATGCATGCATAAATAAATAGGATGAGCAAAAGATTAGACAGTTTTCTCCACTTTGTAGTTTGCTGTTGACTTGCATGTGCTGCTACCTGTGTTTTAAAACAGTTCTCCATGGGGAGCTCTTAGGACACGTTTATCTTCTTTGGAACGTCATGTAGTTGGTCTAATACATAAAGCAGCCAAGACCATCAGATCCTCTTTGTTGCCGTTGATAAGTTTGTCAGCTCTCAAGCCACAGCGTTGTGTACATTCATGTATTTTTGTCTGGGCCTTATGGGTAGGCCTCAGACATTCCACAGCTACCTGGAAGACATTATCAACTACCACTGGGAGCTTGAGGAGGGGAAATCCAACCCCCTGAGAGAAGCCAGTTTCCAAGACCTGCCTCTTCGTACCCGTGTGGAGATTCTGCCCCGCCTATGTGATTACTGGCTAGATGCAGATGATGTCTTCGATCTACTCAAGGTGCTTCCCTGAAAGCCCTTTCTCTAGTGTAGTAAAAACGCAGTAGTTGAGAATGGAGCTTTGAAATCAGAGCCTAGACACTGTCCCTAAGCATTTTTGCTCAAGGCTAGTGCTCTACCACTTGAGCCACAGTGCTGCTTCTATCTCTTAGTGGTTAGTTACACGTAAGAGCTCTTGAATCTTTTTTGGGGGGGGTGTGGTAGGAATTTGAACTAGGGCCTGGACATTGTCCCTGATCCCTTTTTGTTTTGTTTTTGTTTTGCTCAAGGTTAATGCTTTACTACTTGAGCCACAGTTCCACTTCTGGCTTTTTGGTGGTTAATTGGCGATAAAGAGGCTCATGGCCTTTCCTGCCTGGGCAGGCTTTGAGTCGTGATCCTCAGACCTCAGCCTCTTGAGTAGCTGGGATGACAGACATGAGCCATGGATGCCCGGCTAGCAGGTGTCGGGATCATACAGGATTAGACCTGGTGATGACTTCTAGTCCTTTCTTGGTCGTGTCATTTAGAAGTAGTCTTCATTCAGGACTCCAGCCTAGGTCAGGCCCTGGGGTAAATTGGGAGTCTCAGCTGGAGCAGAATGTTGCTGTGGGTTCTGACTGAGATGCCACAGTGGATTACACGGGACAAAGCCTTAGAACATCTTATCCTACCCACTACCTTTTGTGTACATATAAAGTAAATCTAAGCCAGGTAGTCAAACCATTCATTGGAATTCTCTGTTTTTGGAGGGGTGGGAGCCGTGGTTGGGGTAGGGAACATTTCAAGCATTTCTATATCTTGTTCTTCGAAGAAGGTAGCCCATCCCATTCTGTATTTTATCTGCCCAGATGGAAAAATAATATCCTGTACTTGGCATTTTGAAACAGGTGATAGGTTCGTGTATTGAAGTTTTCTTCCATTTATTTAGTTCATTGTTTTCCCCAACCCTCCTTCCTTTTCTGCCAAGGGTCTGGATGCAGACAGTCTCCGTGTAGAACCTCTAGGGGGAAGACAATTCAGGGGCACTCTACTGGTATTTCTACAGAACACTAATGTATAAAGTGGATCCGGTACAAGGGGGGTCTAATGGAGAACTCTCCTTGAGCAGGTAAAATCTTCAGTGTCAAGGCTGTAATAGCTACATGTAAAAATGTCTTTAAAGTTAAATGCATCAGTGCTGGGTTGTGGCTTAAGCCATAGAGCACCACTTTGCAAACCTTACGCCCTAGGCTCAAACCCTGGTACCACACATACAATAAATGAAGAAAGCTCATACAAACAAAGAAAGCTAGAACTTTATTTTCTAATGAGGGGAATTAACTGTATCAGCATTCTTGAAGGGAGAGTAATTTCATATACAAATAAAAAGGAGTAGGGCACCAGTAGCTCACACCTGCTATATTTCCAGACATGTTTAAAATATGTCCCAATCAATCTCACCCCGTCTATCAATTTCCTTTCCCCCTTCTCCCTTTCCTACCTTCCCAAAAACAATTTCAACATGCTTCCTTGTTCAATTTTCATAGCTGCAAACCATCTCTTTCAATCAAATGTATACCCTTTCAATATATATTTCAAAATTATGCACCCTCGGCCTCTTCCTGTCGGTCCCATATTGAACTCTAGTTGGAAGAGGCGAGTCTGGTCTCAAAATGGAGGTAAAACTGCCGCCCGGTGGCCCCCAGCCTGACTGGCCATCGCCGCCGTCACCGGGGGGGGGGGGGGGGGGGGGGGGGGGGGGGGAGGAAGGCCATGATCCAAAGGAACCAGAGCAGCTGCGGAAGCTGTTTATTGGTGGTCTGAGCTTCAAAATTACAGGTGATAGTTTAAGAGAACATTTTGAGAAATGGGGCACACTCACAGATTGTGTGGTAATGAGAGATCCTCAGACAAAATGTTCCAGGGGCTTCGGTTTTGTAACTTATTCTTGTGTTGAAGAGGTGGATGCAGCCATGTGTACTAGACCCCACAAGGTTGATGGACGTGTTGTGGAACCAAAGAGAGAGCTTTCTAGAGAGGATTCTGTGAAGCCAGGAGCCCATCTAACAGTGAAGAAAATTTTTGTTGGTGGTATTAAAGAAGATACAGAAGAATATAATTTGAGAGACTATTTTGAAAAATATGGCAAGATTGAAACCATAGAAGTTATGGAAGACCAGCAGAGTGGGAAAAAGAGAGGATTTGCTTTTGTAACTTTTGATGATCATGATACAGTTGATAAAATTGTTGTTCAGAAATACCACACTATTAATGGGCATAATTGTGAAGTGAAAAAGGCCCTTTCTAAACAAGAGATGCAGTCTGCTGGATCACAGAGAGGTCGTGGAGGTGGATCTGGCAACATTATGGGTCGTGCAGGAAACTTTGGAGGTGGTGGAGGTAATTTTGGACGTGGTGGAAACTTTGGTGGAAGAGGAAGCTATGGTGGTGGAGGTGGTGGCAGCAGAAGTAGCTATGGAGGAGGTGATGGTGGATAGAATGGATTTGGAGGTGGTGGTGGCAACTATGGTGGCCACCTTGGTTATAGTAGTAGAGGAGGCTGTGGTGGTGGTTGAATAGGTTATGGAAACCAAGGTGGAGGATAGGGGGGGTGGTGGAGGAGGATATGATGGTTACAATGAAGGAGGAAATTTTGGTGGCAGTAACTATAATGATTTTGGAAATTACAGTGGACAACAGCAATCAAATTATGGACCCATGAAAGGGGGGCAGTTTTGGTGGAAGAAGCTCTGGCAGTCCATATGGTGGTGGTTATGGATCTGGTGGTGGAAGTGGTGGATATGGTAGTAGAAGGTTTTAAAAACAACAGAAAAAGGGCTACAGTTCTTAGCAGGAGAGAGAGCGAGGAGTTGTCAGGGAAAGCTGCAGTTTACTTTGAGACAGTGGTCCCCAAATGCCTTAGAGGAACTGTAAAAATCTGCCACAGAAGGAACGATGATCCATAGTCAGAAAAGTTACTGCAGCTTAAACAGGAAACCCTTCTTGTTCAGGACTGTCACAGCCACAGTTTGCAAAAAGTGCAGCTATTGATTAATGCAACGTAGTGTCAATTAGATGTACATTGCTGAGGTCTTTTATCTGTTGCAGCTTTGTCTTTTTCTTTTTCTTTTCATTACATCAGCTATATTGCCCTGTGAATTGTGGTAGTGGTACCAGGAATAAAAAATTTAGGAATTTTTAACTTTTCAATATTTGTGTAGTTCAGTTTTTCTACATTTTTAGTACAGAAACTTTAACAAAATGCAGTTTTGAAGGTGTTTCCTTGTGAGTTAACAAGTAAAGATCATTGTTAATTACTATTTTGTATGAATTTTGCTAAAGTTAACTGTAAAGAAACACCTATTGACTTGCAGTTTAAGGGGAATCTATTCTCCTCATTTCTAAACCATGATATGAATGGGCGCTAACATGTGGAGAGAATAGATACTTGTATGTATGCATTGTGTGTTTTAGATACATAGGATTGGGTATTTAAATTAGTATATTTGTGAATTTAATAGCATTAAGATTACTTTCAAATAAAAAAAAAACCCTCAAAATCCCTATTTGTGCATTTTCCTTCAATGTAATCATGGTTTTTAGTGTGTTCTAAGATTTGCTGAATCGTAGCTGTGTTTAGAACATGTCCATTCTACGTTTACCTTGATCACATTTAGAATGACTGCTACCATAGTTTTGGAGTGTAAAGCATGTCTGCTGCCCTCTATTTAAATTTGTAAAGGGTACTGGATGTTTTCCCCATCCCTTTAGAGACCATTCTTAATTTTTGATTCAGGACCACTAAGTGTGCAATATCTGAGCATATTAGTGGATACCTGATTTTATTCTGTTTTTCCTTTGAGACCCCTGAGGCCTATAAGTTTTATTACTTTTCCTTGGTTTAATTTCTCCATGCAAGTTTTCAGAGGAAGAGAATAAAAAGACACTTCATTGTCAAATCCTTAAAAAAATAATTATGCACCCTCTACTATATCTTTGTCTCTGAGTCTCTTTTGTAATTTGGTTCAGCAGTATATTAATGTTTATGCTATTTATTTATGAAAAGCAGTTTGTGATTTATTTATTTATTTATTTATGAAAAGCAGTTTGAGATCTCTGATCAGAATTAAAAAGAAAAGAGGGCTTGTATTGTATTTAGTGCTATAAATAGTGCTTGCCTAGCCAGGCGCTGGTAGCTACTCAGCTACTCAGGAGGCTGAGATCCAAGGATCACCAATCAAAGCAAGCCCAGACAAGAAAGGCCATGAAACTCTTATCTCCAATAAAACCACGAGAAAACCAGAAGTGGTACAATGGCTCAAATGATACAGTGCTAGCCTTGAGCTGAAGAGTTCAGGGACAGCACCCAGACCCAGAGTTCAAGCCCCACAACAGACAGACAGCTAGACAGACAGGCAGATAGATAGATAGATAGATAGATAGATAGATAGATAGATAGATAGATAGATAGATAGATAGATAGATAGATAGATAGTGCTTGCCAAGCATGCTCAACTGAGTTTTATTCCCAGCACAACAAAAAAACAAAGCAAACAAAAAGCAAAGCACTTATGGGTGCATATTTTTAAAAGATAAGAACCTGTAGCCTTTTTGGTCTAACAGTATGAAAATATAGAATTTTAGAAATTTAGGATATTTTGTTCTTGCCAATATATATAGTTTTCATATAACTAAAAATGTGACATTTTGTTTTCTGAACAAATGTCCTCCAATTGCATTCACTTTCCTGTAAATGACATGATTTCCTGTAAAGTATACATACATACAGTTCCAATACCATGTTTTTGTTACCATGGTTCTTTTTTTTTTTGGTCAGTCATGGGAGGCCTTGGAGCTGTCCCTTCGCTCTTCAGCTCAAGACAAGCACTCTATGGCTTGAGCCACAGCACCACTTCCAGTTTTCAAGTGGTTTTATTGGCGATAAGAGTCTCACGGACTTTCCTGCCCAGGCTGGCTTTGAACCGTGATCCTCAGATCTCAGCCTTCTGAGTAGCTAGGATTACAGGTGTGAGCCACCAGCGCCCGGCTTACCCTGTTTCTTCAAGATAATTTGAGGTTTGGTATTATGTTTGGTGTCTATGTTTGAATACTGTCTATAGTATCTTTTTTCTGTTGAAATATCGTTTAATTCCATTTTGGTCTGATAGAATATTTCAATTTTCTTATATTTTCTCAGAATTGCTATATATTCTAGAAAGTCTTATGAGCTGCCAAGAAGAATGTGTATTGTGTTGTAACATCTGTAGATGTCTGATCATTTCATTTGGTCTACACTGCCATTTAATCCTGCCATTCTAGGATTTCTTTACTGATGTTTTTATGTGGATAACCTATGTGAAATACTGAAGTCGCTCATTATTATTGTTATTATCTATAAAAGTTTGTAAGTTCAGAAGTATTTAATAAATCTGAGTGTGAGCTATTTGGTGCATATATATTAACAATCATAATTTTTTTTCATGGATGATTACCTTCATTAATATTGTCCGACCCGCAGGACTTCAAGGAGGGCAGTGAACCTAAGCTAGAAGGAATGAAGGGACAAGAGACACGAAGAATGACAGCAAGACAAGGATTGTGATCAAGCTGCCAATTTTTATTTTTCACACAGGGGTATTTATATGCTTAGAATAAGGAAGCCTTTTCTTTGGCCGTAGCAGCTGTAGGATGTTTGCTTAGGGCAGTGTGAAAAGGTGGTCCTTAGCAGCTACCTAGTGTTTGTTTAGGGCAGGATGAAAGGACTGGATTCTGTAAACAGCCTGGAGATGTTCCAGCGAGATAGTCAAGCTTAACATGCAGAGAGACTCCCTTTAGGGCTCCTGACAAATATGAAGCGACTTTGTTTCTTCAGACTAATTTTTAGCTTGCAATCTAGAGTATCAGATATAAATATGGCTAATGCTAAACACTTTTGAAGTCCATTTGCTTGGAAGGTATTTTTTCCCATTCTTTTACCCCAAGCCATGTGTTTCTTATAAGCAACAAAGAGTTAGATCTTGTTTTAGATATTGGTTTTTGATCTAAGTATCCATTATGTTTTTTGAGGGTTTTGTTTGTTCGATTTTTCAGTCATGGGGGTTGAACTCGCATCCTGGGCATTTTCTCTGAGCTCTTTTTGCTCAAGGCTAGTGCTCTACTACTTTGAGCTACCACTCCACTTCCAGGTTTCTAGTGGTTAATTGCTGGTAAGAGTCTCACAGACTTTCTTGCCCAGGCTTGCTTTGAACCACGATCCTCAGATCTCAGCCTCCTAAGTAACTAGGATTACAGATGTGAGCCACCAGAACCTGACTAGTGTATGTCTTTTGACTAAAGAACTAAGATCTTTAACATTCAATGTCAATATTGAGAGAAGTATGCCATGTTTCCTGGCATTTTGTTTTTTTGTGATGTTTGCTTCTTCTGCGGGTAATTTTTCCCTAACTACCTTTTGTGGTGCTAGTTTAGAAGCCATAAATTTCAGTAGTTTTTGTTTATTGTGGAATGTTGTTATTTCTCAACCAATTTTTATGGATAGCTTCACTATGTAAAATAATCTGGGTTGACAGTTGTCTTTTGGGTCTGGAATAATGTCTTTCCAAGTCCTCCTAGCATTTAGTTATCTGTGTTGAGAAATCTGCTGTTTTTACAATGAGCTTGTGATAGTAAGTTACTTGTTTCCTCTCTTTTGACACTTTCGATATTCTGTATATTTAGGTAGCTTACTATACTGTATCTAGGAGCATTTCTTTTCTAATCTTGCCTGTTTGGAGTATGGTAGGCCTCCAGCACAAGGATGATGCTCTATTTCTCAAACATTTTCTGCTCTTATTTTGTTGAATAGGTTTTCAAAGCCTTTAGTTTTTGTTTCTTCTTCCTCATCTATCCCTACATCTGTGGGTTTAATCTTTTGACTGTGTCTGAGAAGATTTGTATGTCTCTTGTACCTTTTAAGTACTTTTGCAATGCTTTGACTGATCTAATTTATCTGCTCCAGTCTTTTCCAATATGCCTTAGAATCCAGGGTATCTTTGCACTCTTGGAAGACCTTCTTTAACAATGGTAGTAGTAGGAAGCAAAAGTAATTTTGAAATACATCTTTTTGTTTGTTTGTGTTTTTTTGGTCAGGTCGTGGGGCCTGAACTCTGGGCCTGGACGCTGTCCCTCAGATCTTCAGCTCAAGGCTAGTGCTCTACCACTTGAGCCACAGTACCACTTGTGGCTTTTTTCTTTTTTGCTTATGTGGTGCTGAGGAATCAAACCCAGGGCCTTATGCATGCAAGGCAAATGCTCCACCACCAAGCCACCTTCCCAGTCCTTGAAATACATTTTGAAGGAGGACGAATACTTAAGTAGCACACAAAAGGCCCTGGATGGGATCCTCAACATCATAAAAAAATTTTTTTAAAGAATCTAAAATAAGTAAGTATTCACAGAATTGCCAGATTTTATACACACTCAGCAAAGTCTATCAGTCAAAGGCCAGTCAATGAACCAAACCCTCCCTTTGATCCTACACAAATATACACATCAAGCAATGCTCTAGAGTAATGTTAATAATGTTACAGCCCCAAACATTAAAACAAATAATATTCTTTTTTTTTTTTTGGGGGGGGGGTCCGGTCATGGGCCTGAACTCTGGGCCTGAGCGCTGTCCCTTAGCTCTTCAGCTCAAGGCTAGCACTCTACCACTTGAGCCATAGTGCCACTTCTGGCTTTTTTTTTTCTGGTTATGTGGTGCTAAGGAATCAAACTTAGGGCCTCATGCATGCAAGACAAGCGCTCTACCACTGAGCCACCTTCCCAGCCCCGAAATAACAATATTTTTACCACGAAGTTTTTCTTGGATCCTGTGGGCTTCAGCTAAT